GCATTTTGATTAAGATGGTAATATGTTAATGCGACGCTGTTAGCATAATTTTGCCTTGTTGATAAACATCTATGTCTCGCTTTGATTCTGCTGCTCTGACTACATTGTGGCCATGAAAGCGCTTCCTCTGGCCTCCTGTTTATCCTTTGGTCCAGTGCTCTTTGAAGTGAAAAACACACATAAATTACACTTGGCAGTGACTGTGATTGATTTAAATACTGCTTGAAGACAACACTTGCAATCAATTTGGCAGTTCTTGATAATGTCATGCTTGTTTAACATCGGATGTGATGCTCATTAACTATTTCAGTGGGCAATCCTAATAACTAATATAAGCAATATTAAGCCGGGCGATGTCTATTCATGAAGTTTTAGCATCAGCAAACCAATCTTTGTGAAAAATAAGCTGATATTTAATCAAAGCAATAGTTTGACATTTTGGGAAATTCGCTTATTCGTTTCCTTGCCGAGAGCGAGATAGGAAGATTAATACCACTCTCACATTTATACGGTAAATTTATAGCTACAGCTAGCAGCCGGTTAGCTTAGTTTAACATAGAGGTTGGTACTTGCTTGCTGAATCTGTATAAAAACTACAGCATGTTGTTTTAAGGCATAAAAACAAAGGATGTACTGTTTTAAATGAATGAGCTTTAGAGGTGCAATAAGGCAATTCTTTTTTTTCTCCTTTGGATAGAGCATGACTGGTTGTTTCTCTTCATTTCCAATCTTCATGCTGAGGTACGCTGCTGTTGCGAGCTTTGTATTAAAATCATCCTAAAATGTCACATTTTTACCTAAACATCTAAGAAACATGAAGCAGCTTTTTACCTGAACGGCTCGCTACTCCATTGGCCTTCTCACTGTCCTCCACTTGGCATTTCTTTTTAGCGATCTTATGAAGAATGGATGCCTTCTCTCGAAATTTACCTGCAAAAGAATCACCGCAATTGTTAAACGTGGAACAGAGAGCTGCGTACCGTAGCACCTTCAAAGCCTCTCGGCCTCATCCCAGTCAGAGCTCCTTCGTTGTCACCTTTGACCCCAGATGGGTCACATTTCAAAAGCAAAGTGCATACACGGTGGTGGATTCACACAAAACTGCATCGAGAGTCAATATGACGTAGCATATCATATACTGATGATCCTGCATTGTCCTGGTCCTTGGTGGAGGCAAAGCCAGCAGGGAGGGAATCTCTTGTGAAGAGATCTGCCTTCTGGAGGTCAGATTCACTCCTGTTCTCACTCAGTTCTTATAACAGATCAGAAACTCACAAGAGATGTCAGAGGCCAGCGGGGAACTAAAAGCAACCAAAAGTTTAGCTGGGGACAGCATCACAGCATATGAAAAATAACAAATTTAGAGGTTTAAGACATTGTACTCAAATATTTAAACAGGACCTTATTTTACCATTATTATAGCCCTCCTATTTTAGCATCACTTGTATTGGAGTGCATGTAAGAGATATCTGCTAGTTAGAGAATTGAATCAATATTTAAAAATCGCTAGTTAAGATTAATATACTTTTGCTGATAACATTTATTGATTCAATAACTCCACTCATACTGGAAATGTGATGCTGTGACGCAGTAGACTGAATTGAAACCAGTCATCAATTGAACAACATGACCTTGTGGCTTACATAAGCAGCGTGCTCTCTTGACATTACAAATAATGGCTCACGCAAGGCAATTCTGCCCATGTTGTAATGACTGGTGATGACTGGCCGCTGGCTTGTGGAACAATGACTTTCCACAAAATCCCCGTGGCCTGAAATCCCCCAACAACACACACATGAACAATAATACAGTACTGAGATGAGAAGGAATATGACTCCAAATACACAAAAATCATGTAGTGCAGGTTTTTATGTTCCCATATTATACTAATTAGATTTTAATATTTAATGGCTATGCAGGCTGGGCATTTATAGTAACTTCTGTAAGTGTTTTCATTTGAAACTGTGTTGTAAGGAATATATTTCTCATCTATGATGTCCTTTCGGTGTAAAACCGGTATCATTAACCTCGTTGCCGTCATGTGTCTAATTTCACTGACTTCCTGTGCGTGTCTGCTTTTGCATGCATGTCCTGCCTACTCCCAATCAGCCCATTGCAATCAATGTGAAAGATTTTCTTTTTTTCCTTTTTTTATGAGGGCATGGCTGATCTGTCAGTGCTTGACACAGTGATGCGTCGATATGTACTCCACCCAACCATGTCAACACTGTCTGTGACCTTCTGGCAAAATCATTAACCACCCCAAGTCACCACCGGCCTTCCTCCCGTCTCCTCTATCTCGCTCTACATTTCTCCATCGCTCCCGTTTTTCCTTACTCATCTGTCTTTGGCAAACACCGGCTTTCTCTCACTTTATCTTTTCATTGTTTGGCAATGCACAGCCCCCCCTCCCCCCACCTGTCTCCCTTTCAGACACACACATGCACACAAGAACACACACAAACACGTACTGTACATTTCCACAAGATGGCATCACACATTCCACTGCCTTGACATCACTCACCTTAGGCGGTCATTGTCAGTTGGTTGTATATTTTAGTCAATGTTGCGTTTCACAAATGTGGGTGTAAGACTATGTCTCTGCTTGGGTGTACAAGCAGCAGGGTTGGGCTTTCTGTAGGCATTCACAGGAAATTCTTAAATGCTGAAGAAAACCGCTCTAGCATGACTACAGACGCAAAGAGTGTAGAGTCAGACTGGCTGGCAAACTGTGTAACAGATTAAGGTTATAATGCCTCCTTATATGCCTTTATAGTTGATTGATTTACCAAAATAACTGGCATAAAGTTACATCCTAAATGCAGATACTGCACTCTGCTTTGGGGTAATCCTTACAGGGTGCAAGATTAATGTAGATTAATCAGGCCGATTTTCCCAATTGCATGATGAGTTAAAAGATGAGATGGCTGCTGCTGAAATCTGCTAGCTTGGCTTTTTAAAAGAAAAGATAGCCCTAATATAGCTTTATCTAGTTGCTTCCACAGAAATCCAACATTTCTATGGTATAATACTTTATAAATTTTTTGATTTAGGTAAGAATGTGTAGTTACTTTGTTTTGCCTTTGCACGGTGTGGTCTGAAATGTCATTATGCTTTAGCTCTAAGTGCAAACAAAAAAGAAACAAAGTTCCTACAAGGTGCATGAATCAGTGAGCACTAAGACAAATTCCTTAGGTTTAGACAAAAGCTTTAAAATTAAAAACTAAGCGAGATTAAGTTTTTCTTGATTAAATGGCCTGTCTTTCAATATGAGCAGAGTGGAAATACATGTTTCCTTGGAGGTCCATTCAAGGTGCACATATTCTCAGAACCATCTAATTTGCATAATGATGAAGCAGTTGCAGGGTCTTTAAGAATAACCAGCCCTTCCCAAGCTGCCGTTACACAGCCGCTCATTTTCCCTGTCAGCTCTGCCTGTTACGCAACCGCCGGGTGGATGAGTCACTCCAGTTTGCCGAATTCAGCAACGTACGTCTTACGTGTGTGCACCCGCTGCTGGTGCAAGTGGAACCTCCAAGTGAGCTGTGTGGCATGAATGATGTATTTTTCAACTACGCAGATGGGTAACAGGGCCAAAGAAAAAAAGAAAAGAAAAAAGAAAAAAGAAGAACCTTGTGCTTTGTGTTTTCTGAGTGTGGGGGGCATGGGATGGTATGCTGTGCATTTGTGTGTGCTTTTACCAGCCTGCATAATAATAAATGCCTTAAAATGTAACCAAGAAGAAGCAGTGGCTTTCTCACAGAATCAAACATAAGCAACACATGACTGTAATTTTCTAGATTTATTTAAAGTATCTTGCTGATAAATAGAATAAAAATCCATAGAAACACTACACACAGTAACACACAATATGTATGAACATATTCTGTGGGCAGAAATTAAAAAATAAGCCAAAAATATAAATGAGAAAAAAAAGTAAATAAATAAAAAAATGGTATGGCTTCCATGATTTGCACTTATGTCAGTGAAATCTCAGAGAGGTTGTCAAACTTAAAAGCCAAAATTGTGCAAACTGTATGTCACAAGCAAACAAAAAATATGGGGTTCGGAGGATGCTGTTTCATGATCAAGATGACAAAAAAAAAACCCAAAAGGGATGATGGAAGCTGACTCAAAGAATCAAGTGAAAACTTTCGGGCTTACCTTCCTCAGTCATTGAGTGATAATATTTTAGTTTCCCATAAGTCCCAAGCTCTACAACATCACAGCAAAAGACAAGGGTAAGGCAACGAACACACAGAGAAAAGGAAAAGAGTGAACATGACAGAACAAGACATGTCCGCTGGTTCTACATCACATACTGTACACACACTCACACGCACGGGCACATTGAGTGACATACAGAAAGACAAAGTCTCTCAGTCATCACTGCGTAAGTGCAAAACAAAGCGGCCGTGGTTGAATTACAAATAAAACACATTATAGAATTACAGTAACTCCTGCCTAGCATTGGCACAGGTTAGAGGGCTATTAGAGAAGATTTAGGAGATTTAGAGAGGGGGAAAGGACAGTCAATAGGCTAGAAAAAAATAATAGAAGTTTCATACAAATATATATTTTTTTTAAAAACAAACAGAACAGGAAAGTCAGAAGAGAATTTACTGGGTCAACATGCAACAAAAAGATGAGTCCTCCTCTCCTCTGCACGCAAGCTTATTCAAAGGCTTGATGATTCGGCATTTTATTTCCACAATGAAACCCGAACAATTAATTTGATTCCCTTACTGTAGCAGTTCTTGGTGCTACAGTAAATAGACGGTCAGCACATCTGCATGATGAATTAGCCGGGAATTCAAACCTGCAGCAACAGCTGAACGTGAAGCAGCAGAACAGAAGACACCGGGCCACGAGGCTCTACCTGCCACACTGCACTTTGCCCTGGAGCTGTTTCGACAGTAATTACTAACGGCATGAAGGTTTTTGTTTTTAGCGTCGCTCTGTCCAATTTTCTCCACTGTGAGTTTTTGGTCGGTTCCTAGCAGAGCTCCTACAAATGTGATTTTAAAATACTGCTGGTTGTTGCAATGTGTTGATGTCTACAGCAAAACAAACCAGAACATAATTAGTAATATTTCACAAGTACAAAACAAGTACAAGTACAGTGCCTACTTGAAAAGGGTTCACCCAAATTACAAACATAGCTCTATAAAGCTACACAGATAGCTTTTGTTTTATTTGCCAAGGTGATCAGTTTTTCATTGGAACTACTTTCGACAACAGACGTAGTTCCTCTGAAAATGAGTATGTTCTGTCTAATATAAGAACGGAAGGAAAACCAAAACAAATTTCAAACTATCTGCATGACTGGGAAAAGTGATAAAATTCTTGGTAACTTTTGTTTTCCTGCTATCTCCTGTTTCAAAGCGCTAGGAGAGCAGATCATTAGGGTGAATCATGTTGATGATGAAGTACAAGGAGACTGTGTTTTCATGTTATGCCCACTGGGCTATGAATTAGAAACCACAAACTTCATTTGGAAGACTGCCTTCATACCAAATGCCACATTAAAAATATGAGTGACTATAAAGATTTTAACTGTTTTAGATAGTCAAGCTTTCTCGTTTATACCTATCAAGTCCTTTGTTATTAAGCTATAGGAGAATTCTGTAAATGATTTTTTTGATGTGACTCCGTGTTAACTATACTACAATTTTGGCCAAGTATCTCATGTAAAAGAGATAAGTTATGTGAAAGGACGTTCTGCTTAAATAAAGGTTAAGAAAATCGAATGTTTTTTTTTTTGTCATTTGGGTAAACTGACCCTATAACTCTTTTCACAGGCACAGATTTCAAGTTTTGTACATGTTGTAGGTGTACAGCACTGTATACATATCCACAAAACCCACGTGCACTCACGCTAATATCCAACTCTGCCCAACAGTGGGCGACCACTCCACTCACATGTGAGAGGATTATGGTGTAAATCTCATGCCAAATGCGAGACTTGGCAGCCCCGAAAACACAATCTAATGAGATGAAAACACATCCCGCTGCAGAGTGTCTTGCTCATCTGCTGCACTCCCAGACAAGTGCCTCAATCCCATATGATTAGGCGATTCGGGTTTGAAGTGCGCTATCACTGTAAGGCCTGCCTCTAACTGAGGTTGCTCTGAGGCCCAATTAACCCACGAAACACTCACTGTCGTCAGTTTGCCCTCTGCAACCAGAGAAGGAGAGAGAGAGAGAGAGAGAGAGAGAGAGAGAGAGAGGCTTGTTGTTGTTTACCAGGGGCCCTCTTGTCCTTGTGGTGTGACCTCTAAACCTATGGTGAGCTGTGTGTTAAGAGTTTGTGTGTGTGTGTGTGTGTGTACGTGTGTGTGTGTACGTGTGTATGCATGCCCGCCCTGTCTGCTGGGGGTTGGGGTGTCAGGGAAATTCACAGTCTGTGCTGAAGCAAAAAGGCTTTTAACATTGATTCTTTCACCCACGTGGCGCAGGGTGAGCTCAGAGGGCACTGGAGGGGGTTGTGACATGTGTGTGCGTGTGTATGAGTGTGTCGTGGTGGAGGGATGACGGGTTGGCTGTCACAGTTACATGACATACTGGAGGGACGATTATCTATCAAAACAAAATCAAGCGGGGGGCAAGGTTTTAAGGCTGCATTTGCTATGTAGATAAGGGATGGTTCCTATGAACATTAAAATACATTAAAGAAGTAATTTTGAGAAATATTCAGATTTTGCTGCTGATACCCCTCTTATATATGTCCCTTTACTTAGCTTAGCTTAGCACAATGACTGGAAACAGAGGGAAACAGCTAGCTCTGTGCTGTCTAAAGGTAAAAACAATAAATGAAAATATATCTCATTAATGTTTTATTACGTTGCAAATACAGTATTAGTTATTACAATTTTTAAAACACATGAAGATGCAACTACTTCAGACATATGCCTGTGTTATTTGGATATCGGTGTTAGAATAGTATCACAAAAAAGGATGTAACAGTACAGTTACAGTGTTACATTGACAAAAAATAAAGAATAACCTATAGCAGAATGTCAATATAATATATCTGCATAAATGGAAAATATATTTCCATTGCACAAGAGGTGGAAGGTCAGTGACATTGAGTGCATTATTGAACCATGTGATCAATGGGGCCCTGGGTCACCACACAGACAGTACTGCTGGCAGGGGGTTGCCTGGATGAATGAATTTACCTCTCACACTAAATGGCCGTTCAAATTATGGAAAGTCCCTGCATAGAAAATTCTGAATTTAGATTATCCCTTTCCTTTATTGTTTCTTCATTTGCTTCTTCATTTTGCCCTGTTTGGGTAAGAATTACGCCCTCACAAAGTGATGGAAACACATTAAACCTCATTTGCTGCCCTTTGGCTGATTTCCTTCTGTGTCTGCATCGAAAACATCCAATGAAACATTGGGCCACACACTCTATTGTCTCACCCGCTCACCCAATAAGCATACAGTCTGCCAACATGGGTGTATCATGGTTTGCCCAAATGACCTTGTCTTCTCCACTGTCCTCTCCACTGTCAGCCTGCGGAGGACTTTGGTACGATGTCTGCTCAATAAAAATGGCCTAACATCAACAAAGATGTCCAAGGCCGCACTGGCATTGTGAGCGATCGTTCCAGCCCATCTCAGTGAGATAATGATCTGCGGTAAAGCATCTGATGAGATCGCTGGTCTGTGCTGCCATATTTATAGCGCTGCACCACATCATCGCAGAGCAGTGATGTAAAAATGTATGAATTTCATTCATGCGCCACTATGGTCTGTCATGTGCATCGCCCATCTTCTTCCATACTGAGGAAAACTTCAGCTATGGGTTTGCACAGACTCGCCACCAGAGTTCAGATCTTGGGGCGATAAATCTTATTGAAGGGCCTGAGCCAAAGGCATGCACGCAGCCAGAATTCTGAGTGCTGTTTTGGGAGGCTTGTTTCAGCCATCCACTGAGAGCTCAGACAGTAGAGTGAGAGCCACTTTGCCCTTATCCCTCCCCGTCTCTCTTTGGAGTTCAATATTTGATGCCACTCTTAAGTGATATTGTTTGTAGCTGCACACTGATGGAAAAAGAGAAGTGGGCACTTGTGCCTGGAACTTACTGTACTGGACTATTACAGTGTTCTCTCCAATGAAAAACATGCAGGATTAAAGGTCTATTATTAAACTGAAGGACATTTATGATAACAAGAACAAGAAAGCTGACATAATTTGGATGCTGAATAAACATCTACTGTATCTCTCAAGCGTGTGAATACTTAAATGATAATAGTGCAGCGGGAACAGCTAATTGTAAAAGGCTGTAGAGGGAAACTAATTTTATTCCACTGCCATTTATTGCTCTGTCAAGCTCTTATTGATTGTGAATCCTTACGAAGGGCATGTGAGGACTGAGAAAACAGCTGACAACTTTTTTTCCATCTTCCCAGTACACAAATTCATGAAGTAAGCACAACGTTGTCAAGTTGAGAGAACCTAGGGTGGGATACCGTCTTCTTCCAACACCACTGGCATGTTGAGCTAAATGTCTGCAGGGTAAATCATCTTCACAACCCAGGAGTTGGAGGACAACGCAGACAGGAAAAACCCAAAACCGCTTCTTTTGGGCTTTTGCCTGTCTCGCAGACAGCAGTAACACAAAGCTAGAACTAAAAGGAGGTCATAAGAGGAGAGAGAGGATTAGGGGACAATGGGAAAAACAATGCAGAAATGGTTACAGAGGGTTTCCAGGGAGAATACATCCACAGAAGAGAATGAGATATTTGAAGGAGAGAGTCTGCAAGGATGGACAGTACAGAATTGACATACAGCACAGTGGCGCTCGGGAAATGTATACATAGGGGACACGTTGGCCAAGAGAGTTGTCTCCAGGCTGTTGGAATGAGAACAAACAGATTTTTTTTGAGGGGGGGAGGATACGGAAATTAGAGGAGTAACTCACCAGAGTCAGCAAATTCTGAGGGGACAGTAGAAGAAAGAGAGATAGGAAGACAGAAACAGAGAAAAGATAAATCCAAGTGATATTTAGTGTGATAGCCCACATTAAATCATAGATAATATGCAAAGATGAGAATAGCCCATTATATGATGCTAATAAAGTAATTCAATTATTAAATTATTTGATATTTTGTGAAATGTGCTTTTTTTGCTTTCTTGCAGAGAGTTAGATGAGAAGATTGATACCACTTTGAAGCTAAATATGAAATTGGGGCCAGGGGATGCTTAGCTTAGCTTAGCACAAACACTGGAAGCAGGGGGAATCAGCTAGCCTGGTTCTCTGTCCAAAGGCAAGAAAATCCACCTACTACCTCTGAAGCTCACTAATTAACAGGCTATATTTAGCTTCCTTTATCCATAAACACAGAGGTATAAAAAAAAAGTTGTGGTCGACTCAAATAAGTGACTGTGCCCCACACATAACCCCCCCCTGTAAAACCTCAATAAGCTTAGCTTAGTTTAGCGTAACAACACCATTAGCTGCTTTTACACTATAAGGATTAATCAAACAAGATATAAAGAGTTAATTAGTGAGCTTTTGAGGTGCTGTTAGGGGAATTTTCTTCCATTTGTATATAGTTAGCTCCCCTCCCCCCGCTTCCAGTCTTTATGCTGAACTAAGCTAAGCACCACCTGTCTGTAGCCTCATATTCAACACAGATATGAGAGCGGTATCACTCTTTATTATCTAACTTTCAGGCAAGAAAGCGAATAAGCGTATTTCCCAAAATACTTTTAGAGAGAGACACACAAGCATGCCCACACACATCCTCTCAAACACCTACAATCATTAACCAAGGTTTTTCCTGCGTAGTGTATTTAAAAGCTAGCCCAGACTTTATGTTGCCTTGACAAAAATCTGGCCATGTTTGCAAAAATTAAACCTTATGTTGCATTAATGTAGCAGGATAATACTCTCATTTAAATTTGTTTGGTCAGCTACAATACAGGTCAAGCACTGTAGGAGGAAGGGAGCAATAAAGGAGCGAAGTCTGACTGTTTAAGCCAGGAAAAACCCTAAAAGCACAAATACACAGACAGACACACACACACACACACACACACTTCTAACTACCCCCACTCTAAAAGTCTAACAAATGAAAGGTAACCAGTTCCCAGCACCAGCAAAACAACCTCAGACTTTCTTGCGGCTCGGAAAAGCAGGCGACTTTATTTTGAGAAATATCTATGAAAAATGGATGGCTGGAGTCCTGCCAGCTCCCCTCAGCCCCGCTGTGCTACACTTAAAGCCTAAGAGCACGCAAGGACAAGCAGCACTGCCTCCGACTTTGATGGGTGCACCTGTTCGTCTCTCTCCAAACTACTCACCAACAAAATGCTCCTTTGCATTAATGATATAAATGTGCACAGAACACAGTGAGGCCGACCTTTATTGGACCCTTACGGTAATGGATCAATGAAATGATTTAACACACTAAACCAATGAGGCATGTGAAGAGTGCATTTTAAAATGAACTGATATCATCGTTACATGTGCACTGGGGCATGTGAAAACGTCCAACGTCCTACATGGAAATTTCTAAATAATATATTCGGATCAAACTGGAACCCAAAGTGTTGCTTTTGTTCTCTGCGGTAATTAATTCCATCCTCAAGTCATGTCACACTGTAGTTGTTGTTTCAGTGCATTCATTTCCTGTAAGTAATTTGCCAAAAGACTCATCAGTCAAATCTGGCATAACACCCTCGCATTTCTGCTGCGTTCGTACTGAAGCAGAGTCTGACCTTTTTAAATCTACTATTAGGAAACAACATATATCTTAACAAACAGTAAATTAATTTTGACTTTAAGTTTTTGGATGCTTGTTAGTGATTTAGACCCGAACATAAACAGAAAAAAAAACAGCTGGCGTCAGACTAAAATCCAGCCTATTAATCCTCATGCCATCAAACAAGCCATAAATATTTCATTCTACCATCATCAGTGAATGTTAGACCCCCCCCAAAGAAGACCAAATGACAAATGGCTGTATAGAAGTGGTGGGGTGAAGAATGTATAGCCCTCTCTTGTGCGTTTACGACTGGCCATACAGACTTCCATTTCCCCAGCGGGCTATGATTTACATTTTAATCACCGAGATGGAAAGATGAATACACTCAGAGACGGGACGCCTCGGATTCACTGTACAACAACGAGTTGATGCATGTTAATGGCCACTTTAAGGTCCGTCTCTGCACAGCTTATTAATCTTTCCTGAGCTGACTCATTCTAGGTTTGGCTTTCAAGAAATGTACAGTCATTTCGGAGAAAGCCGAAATGCCTCTTCACTACTGAGCATGTGTCTGCTAATGCAATTACATCCATCCAAAGGGGAGATATTTAGTCTGGCCATTGTTTTATGCTTATGAATGGCTGTTTGACCTTGTTCTATGTGGTATTTTTTGTAGCAACACTAATGCTTTTAATCAGACAACATACACAGTAAACACATTTCCATGAAAACTAGAAGGAAAAGGGGGAATAAAAACAGGATTTAGTTCCAACATTAATATTCATTTTTTTACGGATTAGGATTCATCACGTCAAAGACCTCTCACTAAAAAAGAAGACAGTCTAATGACAGATTCTTCTACCCTCCCCAAGTCCCTGTTGCATGTTTGCTCCCCATTAATGTGAATTTTTTTTCTCCCCTTCATCTTTTCGTGGTGGGTTGAGAATGGGATGACACTGCACCTCCCCCTGACATATTAACATATACATCCCCTGCGCCGAGCACTGACACCGCCGTTTTACATTTCCTTTAGCTAAGCTAATAGGCCTTCATCTTGGATTAAAGGAAACTGATCTTCCACCTCAGCTGTGCTCTGACACAGCACCAAGCTCACCCTGTCTAGCACAGACTATTTTTAAAAAAGGGATCAATTTATTCTGAGCATATAGGTGCTACAAAGGTAGTTCTAAATATTAATGGTGATGACGTTAGATTTGAAGGGGTACATAACTAGGGGTACTACTAAGTCATTATTTTTTATTTGGACTGAATTAAAAACACCGTAAGGATGCTTGATTTAGTTATTCATATCTAAGAATGTGAGCTCAAATTTGGGGCATGAACATCTTTTATGTGCTCATAATATACAGTAGTTTTCTTCCAGCAATGGTCTTGCATTTTTGGTTTACGTACATTCCTGAGACATCTGAAAACAGGATTTAGGTCATTTTAAGAGAAAACCTCAATATCAACCTAAAAATAGACAATTATGGACAGTAAAAAAGAACACCTGAGCCCTATATCCTGCGTATTTGAGACTTACAGATGTGAAATCCACCACTGAAGACTGGTCTTTTCTATTTGCAGTTTGCCTGACTGTCTTACCTTCACTTAAAGGGTCCAATGTGTGAATCATCAGTTGGAAAATGCTGTTCCTCATCAAGCTGTTGTGGAGAGAGGCGGAACTACCCCCCCTCTGAAGCCGAGGCCTGGCCTGTGAGAGGAGAAATAGGGTGTCAATCAAACTTTTGAACCTAGGACATGTTTCTTATGCCTCATTTCCACTGCATGGTATGGCTCAGCTCGCTTGACTCAACTTATTTGGAAGTGTTCTCCTTTTTTTTGGTTTTCCTTGACAAAAGTTGTAGATAGTACCTGGTACGCGTTATGGTATCACCATTATTGAGGTTCCAAGCGAGCAGAGCTGAATGGAGCTGATAAAATACTGCTGAAATAATCGTCACTAGAATCGTCACGTTTCATGCACCGTTGCTATGACGGTCAGTTAAGGCTCCTGTCTGCATTGAGAAGGTACTATCTGCAGTGGAAAATGAAAGTCGAGCTGAGCAGTGGAAATGAAGCTTTACTAGCAAAAACTAAATAACTTTAGTCTAACAACTAGTTCTTATGAAGCACATATGCTGATATTAACATCAGTCTATCAATTGTAAGCACTTTACTAGAGCCATTTCTAATCCAAGCTGTTTGGAATAGGGTTCTCTATAATCCTCTTTTACATAAAACCCCTAAGCGGAACCTGCAAACCAGTAAAACTATCATAAAGCGCCTCAGCTTCTTAAAAATATAACTCCCATGGGTCAAGACAGGCGTTCACAGTTCAAGTGGCATATGCGTTATTTCTCCCAAAACAACCCTTGCCAAGGTCACTCCAGCAGTTGAAGCTGAACTTGAGAACTGTGGGAAATTAGGCACCACTGCAGGCGGCAGCTGTTTGAAGTGTGTCCCCCTTAGGCTGCCCACAGGTGATGCGTAGGCACAGGAGGTGTCAGGTGCTAATTCACAGGCCCATATGGGTGTGAGCGGGAGGCAAGGGAGGCATGTAGACTGGCAGGGCTTGTGTAAGATGCAGCTTCTCGGCGTGACCCTGAAGATTCTCCTTCGGCTGCTCTGTTTTCTCTTTATCCATTGCAATTTGGATGGAAACTAAACACTCTGGTGTGCTTTTTTGGGGGGGTACACAAGCATTAAAAGAGTCATAGGTCTTCTAAACACACGATCCTTCCTTGATAGTCTTTTGCATGCCACGTAGAAAATGTAACTGCAAAAAAAGGCTTCAGAAAACAGAGGGAGCTACTCTCTACACACGGGGAGGCTGAAGGTTAGAGATAACAGTGTACATGTCTCGTTCACAGTATGGTGGGAGAAACACAAGTTACGCTACTACGGAAACAGGGACAAACACAGAAGCAGACGGGAAGAGTGTCAATCAGACAGGACCTACCGACAACTTGCCGTCATCCTCTGGCGCCCCAGGACTTGCCTTTTCATCCAACACAGAGAGAAGAAGAAGTAAAAGGGGGGAGAAAAAGAGAAAGAGAAAACAGGACATAGATGTGAAGCATGCCGCACACAACCACACAGACAAGATGAAAAGACGATAGAGAGAGACATTACAGTGATGGCGATGACTGACTGTGATGTGAGTGGACAAGACTTGAGGGACAGATTCCTCCCCACTGCTGTGCCTGCCTACTGTGCCAGTTGCATGTTGATCAAGATTAGATTGTCTACTTGAACTTCCTTGAAATTCATTCAAAAATGTCCTTTCAATTTCACTTATTTGAGTCAAGGATGAATGTCTGGCATGTCTTGGTGTACACTGTAAAAGTAGAGTAACATTAGAGTAACGGTGAAGAGGCAATAAAGAAAAATAACATTCAATAGTTTGACATCTTGGGGGAAGCACAAATATTCTTAGATTAGAACATTGGTATCGCTACGACGTCTATTATATGGTAAATATGAAGTGACAGCCAGTTAGCTTAGCTTACCGTTATCATTGTGCTCATGTAACTATTCAATTCCTTCCTATGACACATCAACCATTTCAGTTGAATCCAAACTACCCGTCTTCAACAACACTGACTCAACCTTATGCCACAACCGAAGTGCAATTTTCTTTTCAAGTCCCTTGTTTTTGAACGGTGGCATATGCAAAGCCAGCATCTTTTTAAAATATGCCAATTTGTGCTAAGCTTCCATCAACAGGCTGAAGCTTTATATCCAACAGATTGACATGGCATCAATCTTATCATCTAACCCTCAGGAAGAAAACAAATAATTGTATGCCAAAAAATTCCTTTAAATAAAAGCCTAGTCTGATCATGAAGGCCTATAATCTCCAAAACTTTGCCTTGCAGTTTCGTGCTGCCAGTTTTAATGTGATAACTTCGCCTTTGAGAGTGGGGATGTGCCAGATCATGCCAAAGTGACTCCAGTCTTTTAACAATCACTCAATTCTCTGCTATCATTCTCAGCGGGCCTATTTGGCATGTGCAGTACTGTAACACAGTCTATTTTTGAAACAAAAGCCTTTCACCAACTGCCTGACTGAACTGTGCTCACTTCATCTCCAAAAACGTGTGTGTGTGTGTGCATGCGCGCGCGTGTGTGTGTGAAATAACAGTCGCTTAAGGCCTCTGGTTTCTAACTGCAAGGGAACAAAACACAAAGCTTTTGTTCAGATCTTAGCATACCAAGGCTGTGTTTCAAAGCCTACACAGTTTTCAGACAGAAATGTGGAAAAGTGAAATGTGGAGGCACTGGTGTGTGTTGATAAAGTGTACAACGCCAAATGAAATGCAGATAATTATCCAGTTTGATCTTGTGAATGTTTAAAAAATGCAGGGCAAACATACACATTTTAGGACAGGGCCTTGAGGCTTGTCAACCCAGTGATTCATTTGCATGCTAAATGACGCTGCATTGCATTGAATATCAAATCTCTTGATGATCGTGCAGGAAGGAGGAGTGTAGCGTTAAGTTTTCACCTCATGAACCGGAGTTATGTGGCTGTTAAAATTTGCAGAATCCCAAAATTATGAACTTAATAAACCGAAATAAATAAACCATAACTTGAAATAACTTTTACATGGGAGCTGGTAGCGCTTTTAGAAAAATCCACCAATGCAGTCATTGCGAACGTCTGTGTCCCACTGTTTCTGTTTAACAGATCATAATTTATCATATATTAGGTTAGCCTCTGTATAGCTACAGAATAATTACAGAAATGAGAGAGCTGAAATTAAACATTTGCCAAAAAAACTGAGCAGAAGCTAAGCTAATCCTGAGATTTTCCACAGAGCTATTCAACTATAACCTAATTTTTTCCCCATTTCATATCTTCAGGGTAATTCCTTGCACACTCGAGGTATAATTATTCTATTTCACTCCCTATCACCCTCCTCAAAGGCAAGTCAGGAGGGTTAGAAGAGAACAGGTGTATGTGCCAGATAGAGATTATGCTGTGGGTCGCTCATTAAGCCGGCGTTAAATATTATGACTAATAATCACATAGGGAGATTAGTATGTTCTCTGGAGTTTGTGTGTTCTCTAATACCGGCAGCTCTGCCTTCCAGTCCTTACGTAATGTCACATCAGGATCATTCTTGGAAGAGGATCAGCTGAGGGAGATAAATGTTCCTCTGCGGCCACATGCATGTAGCGCCGTGTTACGGAGAATTATCGATGAAGAGTGTGACATCATGCAAAAGTACTTCCGCTTTTACCGCTCAAATTGCCCACAGCTTAAACAGTCGGGGGGGGGGGACTTTCGGAGGAATCTGTGCACACTGGTGAAAAGCTGAAAGCAGAGCTGGAAGTCCTGACTTTCGAACATCAGCGGCGGATTATAGGTCTTCTCGTGTGCAATCTCAGTGCATAAAAGGGGTCTATTTCTGGATGAATTTGATTTGCATGTCCTTTATTCTTCGACATCCAAGTCAAATTACACAGGAGAATAATAGCTTCTTTTTTTAACACACACTTTCTCGTGTGCCAACGGTGGAGATTGATTAAATCCATCATAGCGGTGCTTGATCCTTCAAATCCTTAATATACTCCTTAATATACCCCAGCTATACAATGAATTATGATAACAGCAATCAGCATTACATTTTATAAATCTGAGGAGCCACTTTCCATATTATTTCCACTTAATTTCCCTTTCAGTGCTGCTTGGTTTTCTGAGAATTTAAATTCAATTGTAAAAACTAAATGTGGATCATATGAAAGCGGGGACCACCATTGGGGATAGCTTCTCACTGTCACACTTGGTTCTACTGTCATTACAATACACCATTTACTGCAATTTCCACAGCAATAAATGAACCCCCAAAACTCAATTGGCATCACATAAATGTTTTGGGATTCTCACAAGTACTGCACTAAATGATTTATCTCATGAAAACAAGTTGGACAAAAAAAACTATGAAAGAATCTACTAACCCATTAACACTTCATACACTGTGTCTTAACTTATCTAAGTTAATACATTACAGACTCTGAACTGCTATGGCCACAAAAACTGGCTGACTGTCTGATATTGAAACTTATTTTCAAACTATAATCATACTCTTCATAACCTTGAGGAAATCAACACAAACTTTAGATTAAAGAAACACTTTGACAATTTGGAAAATACACGTATTTGCTTTTTATTAGAGAGAAACAACAAAGTCTGTATGATAAATATTAACCTACCATCAGGAGAAAGCAGGGGGAAACAGCTAGCATGGCTTTTTATGAAGGTAAGAAACAACTGGAAAATCATTGTTTTTGTAAAGATTAAACAAACTAAAAATTATGTATTAATTTGTAGTTTAGAGGTGCAGGTAAGCCAATTTTCTTTCTTTCTTTCTTCTCATTTGAACAGAGCCAAACTATCTATTTTCCCCTGTTACCTTTCTTTATGCTGTGCTAAGCTAAAGGGCTGCTCGCTCCAGCTATTTAATGACTGTGCAGCCTTGTGAGTGGCATCCAGCTTCTCTTTCAACTCTAAGCAAGAAAGCAAAAATTTGTTGAGCATAACATTAAACTATTCCTTTGAAAAAAAATCAGCATTTACAAAAAAAGGTACAGACTTAAGATTAGAAATATCAAATTGCAATTTCTTCAACTATTATAGTTGAATTACATGACAAACAAGCCTAAAAGAGCTCTTTACAGTATATTTCAAAGGTTGTCACAAGTAATGCGCGGAAGAATGTGCACAAGCCAAGAATTAAGCCAGACAGGCTGACAGACGTTGCAGTAGATCTGACATTTCTTGCATGATACATTCTTAAATACTGAAACTATAGTGGATGTGGAAACACTATATATAAAGCATCTGTGAGCCTGAGTATGTAAAGATATGTGAAAGCCAGACTGCCTGCCTTGTTAAGCAAACTTGAAAAGTGAAATCTTGCACAGCTCCAGGCGTTTGCCTACACGTGCTTACAGTAGGCAGCCTGTCTGTCAGAGCATGACAGAACACCCTTCGAGATTTGTCCATCTAGACTCATCGCGTTAGAGCTAAATTGTTGAGCAGCACGACTGAGCAGCATCTCTCTCTCTCCCTCTCTCTCTCCCCCTCTCCTCCTCTTTCCCGTTTTGCCTGGAGACGATAATGATGATCTTCAAGGAAAGGAGGGAAAAGATGCACAACAAGTCAAGAAGCCATCTACTTGCTAATTAGTAACCCCTTCATTTTTCTAACAAGCAGAACTAATTACAGGATCTGCCACAACGCTGATTTCCCACAAGGCAATGCTCACCAGGACTAAGCCAAAATTACTTCCTCTTACTCCGCCCTCCCGTGAACCAATCAGACTCAGGCTTTTGGGAGACAAATATGGGAACAAAAACTGCTGTGTCATTTTTGCAAGTGAATGTAATCACACAAAGCTGGGTTTGATCAAGAACAAGTCATTATTGTCATTTCGCTATCAGCACTCCATGTTCTTGTAGCGTATTTGAAAGTCAGTTTTCTTGTGTTACTGAATCTGGGTTAATAATAATGTTCCAAAAGTGATTTATTCTCTTATTCACCATATTGAATTTAGATTGTGCACGTGCAACGTAATGTTTTTTGCTGAGTAAATACAAGAGGTGGAATAAAAGCCTGCAAACATGATCGAATTTGTATCTTGTAGTTTTGACTTGCATATACAGAAAACCAAAAAACGGCTGTACAGGGTTCTTTGTTTTTGAGATTGTAACAAACGATAAACAAAAGTTTCTTCCAGGAGTCGGCATTAATATTCTGCAGCGTGTCCACTCTGCTCCTGCTGCAGCACTCGCTGCCCCAGATTTTGTTTTGGCTGCCCTCTCCTCTTTATCTGCATGGCCTAAGAGTCATTTCTTGTCCTTTATTTGGGTTTGGCTAAATCAGTACCGGTCCTGCTGCCTTGTCATGCAGAAAGACTTTCATTTTACAGAGTGTAGTGGTTCCCAAAAGAGGCAACCAGATCAAATTCAATTGTTGACAGTGGTCCAAGTCTAGTTGCCT